CCTAGAGACCGAGAAACTGGCCTGCTTGTATACAAATGCTCAGGGACTTTCTAACAAACTGGCTGAACTGAAAGATCGCCAAGCTTCCGGCTCGTATGATGTCATTGGTATCACCGAGACATGGTTGCACACGGGAATGACGGACGCTGAAGTGTCGCTACCCGGCATTTCGCTGATCCGGAACGATAGGCTCACAAAAGGAGGAGGGGTAATCCTGTATTACCGGAACGACTTACAGTGCGAAGCCGTGGAGGATTCAGATTCGCAGTTTCCCGACTCTCTTTGGTGCCGGTTGCAGTTAAAAGGCAGGGACGCTTGCCTTATTATCTTGGTGTACCGCGCCCCTAACTCAACACCCGAAACCGACTACCACCTAATGGCTGCTTTAAGGTGCAGTTTACAACAAAAGTACACTCACATTCTTATCATGGGTGATTTCAACGTATATTGTTTAGAAGCCCCTGCCACAACCGGCGAACAATTCAAAACCGATTTACAAGATCTAGTAACTACTGCTCCTCTTTACAACCACATCACTTTGCCCACTCGGTTCAGAACTGGTAACAGGCCATCTGTGTTGGATCTTGTGCTTACCAACGAGGAGCATATGATTGATGCGTTGGTTTTAGACTGCCCGTTGGGTCGCAGTGATCACGCAGTCATCAGTTTCAACTTCGTCTGCTATGCAGAATATCGGAATGATAACGATGATACTGTGCGAACCATCACAAGGTACGACCGACTCGCCCAGCTAGTCAGCGCCACAATATGGTCTTTCCTCGAAGAAGAACCCCCGGAAGTCGCCTGGCTCGAGTTCGTCAACACATTCAGTCAGCTGACTGCACAAGCTTCAGAGATAAAAGTTTGCAATAAGTGAAAATCCGTTTCTTTCGTTAGGAGCAGAACCCGAAAATGGATGACAGTACGCAACGCAGCATGGCGAGTGTACAGAGAAGCTCCAGCACCAGAAACGTGGGACAACTACGTAGCCCAACGTAACCACTGCGCTCATCTGTTAAGAGATAACAAAGCGGCCTATCAGCAGAACATCGCAAAAACCTTCAGTGCTAACCACAAACTGCTGTACAAGCACGTTAATAGCCTACGAAAGGTGAGACAAGGATTTCCTCCTTTCAAGACGACTGATGGCCCAACAAGAACATCTATGGAAGCTGCAAACGCGCTGCAGATGCAATACGCCCCCACGTTCCAAAGGGTCTTGCCACCAAGCGATCTACCAAGCTTTGTATTCTGCTCACCAGGACTAACCCACATCAATTTTACCGCAGAGGCTGTATTGCAAAAGCTGACTTCTCTACGCAAACACAGCTCGCCGGGTGTCGACGCCATTCGTCCTGAGGCATTGGGAGTAGCAGCAAACCAACTGGCAGGACATTTAGCTCAGTTTTTTCAGCACTGCTTAGACCGGAACCAAGTTCGCGCCATGTGGAAGCTTGGAATAATAAGCCCGATTCACAAAGGTGGAAGCAGATCTGATCCCTCCAACTACTGCCCAGTAACCCTTCTTCCTATACTCTCCAAGGTCATGGAATCAATAGTTGCCGATGCACTGGTGTGCTATCTGGAAAACTGCAACCTCATCACTCCTGAACAGCACGGTTTCCGTCGACAGCGGTCATGTACAACTAATTTACTAATTGCACGCAGTAGTTGGACCGAGGCAGCCGACGCTGGAGAAGGTGTTGATGTGATCTACCTGGATTTTTCCAAGGCTTTCGATCGTCTAGACCATCGGATACTACTATCCAAGCTGCAGCATAACGGGATCGGCGACCCTCTTTTAAGCTGGATCGCCAACTTTCTATTTCAACGGCAATTAGTGGTCAGAGTTCGGAGCTCTTTATCGGACCCCATACAAGTCGAGTGTGGTGTGCCGCAAGGCTCGGTTCTAGGTCCACGTTTGTTTCTGGTGTTTATTAATGACCTTGCACAGGGAATCGCTTCAAACTTCCTAATGTTTGCCGACGATATCAAGATCTGGCGCAGGATCCAGGCGAACACCGACCAACATGTGCTCCGAAGTGACTTAGATACAGTGTATCAATGGTCGATCCAAAACTTATTGCATTTCAACGTCAGTAAATGCAAGGTGCTTTCCATCCGACATCACGGCAGCTACTCATACCGACTCGGAACGGATGTACTGCAACAATCAACTCTCGAACGTGACTTGGGTGTCCTGGTTCAAGATGACTTGGGTTGCTCCAGGCAATCCGAAAAGGCCTCGAAGACCGGGAGCCAACATGTTGGGCTGTTGAGGCGGGCGTTTGGACAAATAAACAGCTCCATATTTCGACAAATGCTCAGTGCGTATGTTCGCCCCCATGTCGGATATGCAATTCAAGCCTGGCATCCATGGCTGAAACACGACCTTAATGCACTGGAGCAGCCTCAACGCCGGGCATCTAAGAACGTAACTGGAATGCGCAATCTGTCCTACCAGGAGAGGCTGCGACGACTAGGATTGTTCAGTGGAAGCTATCGCAGGCTACGAGGCGACCTGATTATGACATACTTGATTCTGCGAGACCCACATCATGTGTGCCGCCCTTTACTGCAACTCAGCAGCAATACAAACCTGAGGGGCCACTCATTAAAACTCGCAGAACAATACAGTCGTCTGGAGTGCCGCAGAAATTTCTTTTCCATTCGTGTCTGTCACCCGTGGAATGCTCTCCCAGAATCGGTCGTCTCTGCACCGACACTAACAGTATCTGAAAGGCGGTTGGACGATGCACTCATCCACTTACACTTTGTTACTTAACACTATGTCTCCATCCTACACCTGGAGTTTACCCTGGAATTATTTGTTGTTAACTGTGGGTGTTGTGAATCTAAGTGGATCGCAGGACTGCAGCGAAGCAAACGATAAGTCCTTATTTTCGTACTTAAAGTGTTAACTATTTTACTATCCTTTTCATCATAATTATTATGTTGATATCCCCACCAACTATCCAACGGGGCTTGTAAAGCAACGCTTCTTAACCCGCATAAATTCATTGTTGATTGTTCAAGTTCCCGCAGTTTGAACCAGATACCGCCAGGCAGGTTATCAAACGATAGGCACCCGTCTGGAACGTGACATTCCCAAACGACGATGTTAGGTTTATCAATTAATTGTGATCTGCTCGTAACTTATTTGTGAACCAAAGGTCTTGCTCTTTTGCTAGAACTCACCCGTAGAGCGTTTTGTGATTTAAAACAAGAAACTTTCTTAATAAAAAGTCGGAACTGTCGTACATCAGGTTGTCACGAAAATGGTTGATGTAACTAGAGAACATCGATTGTCCTAAAACACTCTTTTGAACGAAACAACAAGTGACTAGCGATGAGTGTGATATTTATCACCCGGATTCGTCCAAAGATTCAGCGTGTAGCCAGCCAAATAGTGCGAATTCCTCTCACGATTTCATTCGGATGTCAAATACGTCTGCAACGAATGAACGGTTGCTTTCTGAACGTCAAAATGTAATTGTATCAGTGTCTTGCTAGTGATTACTGCTTTGGTGACAGTGTTGAAGAATTAAAAAAAGCAATTCACTCATTTCCCTTGAAAAATTTTATCATAGCAATAACAACGAACATTTCTGAGGAATATTCTCGATTCGTGTATTCTCTTCAGCCGCTTATATACAATGGGTGCAAATTTCAGACTATTGGGAGTAATAGATCAATACCAGAACTCAATGGTTAGTGGAGTTGGTTAGCCTGTCTTGCCTCACCAAGGCAAAGCAAGATTGGCTACAAGCTCAAGTTACTTACATAGATTAGGCTTCAAACGCCGGATGGCGGAAGCGTCAGCAAAACGTAACAACTTTGGGTTGCTCCGTCTGTTGATGACCTTGAATGATTCGTGGGGATTCTGGCACATCGAGCAGTCGAATAAGTGCCTGGCAATGGAGCTGGTAGGTAATGTTGCGCCACGAGGAACAAGGTTCCGCGGGAAGTGCTCTGAAATCCGAGTGGACAACCTCCTCTCTGTCCGGCAAGTGTGCATGCTACCACAAGTATAGTTAAACTGATAAACATATGAGGCGGTGACAGTAGAGTGAGTTTTGTCCAAATTGGATACATGTAGTAGCTTTTCGGTTCTGTGCAGCAACATAAGCTCAGCTGTATAGTAACACCTCCTTCTGGCATGATGTAAGCGACAGCAGAACCGTCTGTCATTTTCTTCCCCTTTGTAAGGCAGTGCAATGAATACCTACTTCTTTGAAGCTTCAGTTCGCTCTTCATGCGGTCTGGTTTTCTGCCCATATCTTGCAATTAACTTGGCAGGGTACCCATTTTCAGGTAGGGTGGATGCGATACCATGTAGCTCTTCCACAATCGTTTCCTTTGAATAGATACGACGGGCATCTCACAAAAGATGCAAGAACCAGGGAGCGCTTGTAGCTCATGGGGCAGTAGCTGTCTAATATTCCGCAGAAATGTTCGTTGTTCTTGCTCTGTTAAAATTCACTCATTAGCAGAAATTCATGCAACCCTGAATTCGATAAACGGATTATGTTTTCCAAATGCACCACTTTAAAGATTACGTGCATCACAAGCTCCAATCAAATACTTGTGGATGGTGGTGTAACGCAATGATCGATTTGTGTTCCTTTCACGAAAATTTTCTCTCTGGTGATGGAAAATATGGAGTGGGAGCTCCTGTGCACCGGGTTATTTACTTTCAGGGAGAGGACGCATGAAAACTTTCAGTGAAATTACAGGTGGCAGGCCATCAGATCCAGGTTTGAATTATAGCTTAGTGGTAGCTATGAGGGAATATTACTTGTTAACAACATTAAGATATTTGGGGCCTCTTGTTAGTTGTCTTACTGATCAATACATTTTAATATGCGAAATATTCTTGATCAAGTGGTGAGTCCTTTTTTATCTTTAGTTCCTCTTTGATTCGCCCATGTCCTAACCTTCAACATGATCGACCACCACTCCGTTACTTTATCGTCTCTGATGAATTTCTTTCTCTAAAGTCATTCTACGATGCTTGCGAACCACTGGTGGTTCTGCTGAACAATTTGGACCGACAGTTACTACAGTTTCAAGACGCCCAAATTACTTTCGAACCCAGTCTGATTACCCAACAAGCCGCGCTAAGAAACGAGTGAGTTAGTCGGTTGCACACTTTCCATGTTCAGCCCTCAGCTTTTCAACGGAAAGCTTTGTTATAAAAATAATTGAATGGGTTTCTAGTTTGAACAGATTACGCTCGAAATGTGTAGTTGCCTCGGGGCGTCCGACGGTATCTACTCATGAGGATTTGCCATAAGCAACACCATGTCTGATTTCTTCACAGATTGCGGCCAAACATATTTATGGGTGGTCTGCGAAGAAGATTTAGAATAGAATCTGGAGTATTCTCATTGTAACGTTGTATATTGACAATCAGTATCCATGATGTGCCTTTGGCTCCACCCATATGCGAACGTCTTCTCGGGTGTTGAGTGATGTGCCCATGCTCACAGCTTTGGTAGATTGGTGTTTACGCGTTTCCTTCTAGCACATTACCTGCGGCCTCCCGGTGTCTTAGTGTTACCACTGGTTTTGTCCGTGATTGACCTGTTCCATCCCTGGTTGCTCGTTCATCCTATACTCTCAGTTCTCAACGCATCACAACATGCGTGCTCGGGTGATGCTGCCGTCAGTTGTGGGTGCAGTGGGGACGGCCCACAATCTCTTCAGCATACTGACATACGTGCTTCCCTCGCTCACGTCAAGGAGCACCCATAAGCATTTGAACTACCCAAAACTGAATTAAACTCTAATCAACAGCCAACTACATGCAGATGCCTTGTGTACTACTTTCAATGAGATCGATTCAGCCTACCTGTGTATTAGAACATTCTTCCGGCGTCAAAATTCGATCGTCTGCAATGACAACAGAACAGTGACACATTTGGCTTTGTGCGTCAGTCAGTAAACTTCCGGTCGTATGAAATCGGCGCTGTTACACATTTCCTAGTTTCTAGCTTGTGTGTTTGGCTTCATGTCACTCCCCGGGCACAATACCCACACCCTCTGTATTGCTTGCTCGAATAGTCCGCTGTCCACTACCTCGCATTTTAATATGCTTCATTTGGCCTGCCACACGGAAATCACAAAAAGAGGGACCCCAGCGCATCTCGTCCAGCTAGTCTTTGAACGAGGCTTCATGCTGAGGCACTTCATGCGAGAGGCACTTTTGGTTGAGTGTGCCATCAAAAGAGAGTATTAAGTCGGTACCTATCGATTTTTATGACCAACTTTCAAACACTTTACCAGGGCGAGCATAGAGCTCGATCAGATGCTTAAACACCTATCGTCAGCAGGAGCTATGCAGTTGACTGACTGAGGCGTTGAGACTATTTACTCGTCCAGGGCGTTTCTCACTGGTTTTATTGTCTGACTCTGATAAAGACGTCCACGGTTTCAGTTCTACCACAATAATCCAAGTTCTTGACTCACTACTGTTGAGGCTTATAATGTCCCTAACCTACAAGCGCTAGCGCCTTTTACTTCTTGCGTGTGAACAAATATATTGGTAAAACCAAACCACCTACTCCTCCCACACACGGTGTTACACCTGATGGTTTGGCTGTATACTGGACTTCGCGCGTGCTGTTCCACTAAGCTAAAGCATTTGTGCTACCGGTTTTGGGTAGGTTACCATAGAACCTTTTCCGCAATCTGGTTCTAGGCATCTGGCTCCCACGTGGCCGGAAAGACAAGTCGTCTGCCTTGCAACCGGAAGCTCGCGTGTTTGTGCTTGCATAGGGGGTCGGGCGACCTTTTCAGCATCCTTAGCCTTCGCGGGCTCGCTTGTAGTTGCTTGACAGCAAAGTACCGGTACGGCGTATCTGCGTACTGCTAATGCCCTTTTTAACGACATCTACAATTCTTCCACTTCTGTATCTGCACACGGATCTGTGCTCAGCTCAACCCTCCAGTCCGAATGCTCTGAGCTCCGAGCATCCGAACGATTTTCGTCAAAGTTAAAGGCCCATCGCTATAACAATGTTGGAGAAGCACTGAGGAGTCCAATAAAACACTTCAATGGGACATGAGAAAAAGTCATTATCTTTCCCGACTCGATAGATACTCTTCTCTTTACAAAGTGATTACTTGAGTACCGCGTAATAAAACTGGCTTGACCATAATGCGGCAAAAAATTCTCTTTTTTCTACTCGTTATTGTTCTTAAAACTTTACCCTTCTCCCTTGAGGAATTCTCGTGCTGAATAGTTATGCTCTCTGCATTTGATTGGGTTTTCTTGCCTTTCCCCGCGGCCTCTAACCCAGCAACCAAAAAGTCGCTCACATATGAATCCTCAACTCATTGGTCACTGGGGACGAATCGGATCCGAAACATATATTCTTGAGTCGCCACGTTTCATCAACCCTGTTAGTAACGCAGTTTTTAGTTCAAAGTACTTCAAGATGGTCAGGACTATGGCGTGTATAGTAGATTTCTGACTCCATTGCAACGTGAATGGACTTTAACTTGGTACAACTGTTTGCATACCTCTTCAACCCATTGAGCTATACTGCGTGGTGCCCCGCGCCCCTTGCGAACTACTCCTACTACGTTTCTCAATGGTTAGAGGTCAGATAAGCTCAATCTGCTGGTGTATTGTCGGGTTTTGGAGTATCCGCCGTGTGTCTTGGACTGTGACAGGCAATCTCATTTGTAATCTCGGTCGACTTCGAAGTCAGCCTGTGCCATTCCGATCATTGGGATCGTATCCGAAACAGAGGGTTTCGTTGTTACGTGCGCTGATCCATGACACACGACGGGTACACCAAAACCTGACAACCAACTTCTAACGGCTGTGTCAAGCTGTGGTCGCGCAGCTCAATGGGCTAGTGATTATGGCGATAGGCTCCAACCAATATGTGTCGAGTTCCATTCCCAACTCGAGCTATCTCCAATTAATGAGTCCAAACTAGGACGAAACCGTCGGTGAAGTGATAGGGGAGCGCAACATTGAAACCCTCCACTTCCAACTTCTAAAATTCAGGTTGAAGGTTGCCCCCTCTCCATTGTCTTGCAGCCAGGCTTTTGAGACAAAGGCTTTGGTTGAGGTCGCTAATCGTTCCACTGTCTAGGTCTGAACGCCCTGCTAGTATCCCAGTCCACGTACAATTATGACTATTCCTTCAAACTTCAATCACATCCTGCATCGACCGTGGCGCAGCTTATCAAGAGTCGCCTTATCCGCTGGATTTAACAAGGCGAATAAGCAACAACATGCTACTGCTGGCGCCTCCTTTCTTTCCTTTCCATCTGTTACTCTTTCTCTCCTCATTACTAACCTTCCCACTATGTTTCCCAGCTTGATTGACAACAGCCGCCATACTACTGAAGTCCGACCATCTGTAGCTATCTTCCCGTAACTACCACTGGACACTAATCGCCAACAGCTCCTTATAAGGCCACGACGTCCCGTTTCCCTGGGGAGTTCAATGTTTGCATTGTCAAACAGGTCAACTGGATGCACTAACACGCAGATTGGACACTCCGGGTATTGCCGTGTGTTGCGTGTCTGAAACTGGGATCAAGGGCCCTCACGAGGTTGTTGAATTAACTGCACCCGACTTGTTCTCTCGCTATTGGCTGCACACATCCGGAAACGCTGATGCGGCAACCACTGATCAAACTGGAATCGGCATCGTACTCAGCTATAAGGCTGATTTCTGTGAGCAGCCATTTACACGCAGCCCGTTTAAGGATACTGAGTAAGATTGATTCATGGAGTAGCGCTAGACACCGTTTGTCTGTGATTTCCGCTTATGCCTCCGCCGACTGCAGTTCTGATGCCGCCAAGGACACTTTCTACCACGAACTGGACATGCTGCTTCGCAACATCACCATTTAAGATATCTTTGTTGTTGCAGGAGATATGAATGCGTAAGTAGGTCTCCTGGGCTCTTCAGAAGCTCGGCGGTGAGCGTCTGTTGCAAATGTGCGCGCAGCAGCAGCTGTGGGCGTCGAAGTGCCAGTTGGCGTCCCCCTATAGCAGGCCAGAGGTGGACCCAAATAGCTCACCTTGCCATAAGCTACAGACGACGTGGTTCTATCCTGGATTGTCGCTCTTGTTATGAATATTATGAAGGTGCAAAGGTCAAGCCTGGCTCCAAAGCAACGACTTCTTTTGCGAGCCCCATGACAGTGGAGGATGGGCCGCGCTAAATGACAGTTAGATATCATACAAGGCAGTTCGCTGGCGTCACTCGTGGCTCAGTGTCATCAGCCGCTGGCTCGTACGAGTTAGGTCGGGCTTTCGAATTCGGCAGGATTCCGCAGGTGCACGCTACTGACGAAACGGCCGTCTAGTGCTTTCTTGGATGTGTGGTGGCTATCTGCCTGGGTTAAGCTGCGACGAATCTTTACCAAAACCCAAGAAATCCTCTACTACTCACTAATTTTGCTCTTTTGTCCGAATGACATTAGGCTTCCGTGAAATAGGATCTCGGCCGCCATGAACGATGCGGAAGCCGCACCATTAATCGTCACCGCCCCAGTTACTAGACATCCGAGGGATCGGTGAACCAGCTGGAAGCCAGAAGAAAACTTCCGGCTGGCTCTGAGCCCAATGTGACTAGAGGGTCTATTAGGCGCGAACTAAAGCTGAGCCTGCATGCTGGTAAGGAATCCTGGTAGATCAGTAGGGCCCAAGAAATGGAGGAGGCTGGAGCAGCAGACAATTATCGCAAGTTCTTCCAACTTATCCGCACCACTAGTCCCAGGAAATCGGGTGTCAGCGAGACAGTCAGAGACAGCACAAATGTTTTGCTTCACAATAAGGAGCGCCGTATTTGGCTCGTTTGGCGGAGCACTTCTGGGAGCAGTTCTGTTTGTTCTCATTCTCCGGGCCCCTTTATACTCAAATGATGCAGGTTGAATCAGGGCCGGTTGGTTTAGACGGTCCATCGGAGGCTGAGGTCCGAAACGCGATCACAGCCTTTACTCGTTTTCGCGCTGTGCGCGCGGATTCCCTCCTACCCGCACTATTTAAGGATGGCGATGAGGTTCTCTGTAAAGCGCTAACTCTGTTCAATCATGTCTGGAAGGAAGAGACCATCCCGGCTAACTAGTGTTAATCAGTTATAGTGGCGATATACAAGA